TGTTTCGTTTTTTAAAATGTAAAAACATTTGTTTATTTTCTCGACGTTTGTCACGTTTTGTCTATACTAAACGAATAAAAAACATTATAACTTAAATTTAAAAAAGATTATAAAATATGCTAATATTTGATTTTTTTTTTCTTAAATATGTAATTTAAAGTTTTTCAAATAATTATTTTTTCTTTTTAAAAAGTCAGCGAGTAATAAACTGGAAATTTTAATATTGTACGATTAAAAACTGTGCAATAGCTAATATTTTTACAAGCGATTTTATATAATATTTATTTATTTTTATTTATTTTCATAAAGCGGTTGATAAGCACAATCACTCGTATTAATAAAAAACTTAAACGAACGTTTTGAATAGATTTTTAATGTTAACAAGGAATTTTATTTCTATTAAAATAAAATAAAATGTTAGAATAAAAATCTTATAGGTATAAAAGAAATATTTCAGCGAAAAAATTATTCTTAAAAATTATTCTTAAAAATTATTCGAAAAACTATTGACGTTCTATTTTTCAGCAGCTGTTCTTGAGCACGCTTCGATAAGTTTCGGTAACTTTTAACATAAAAGCGATCGTTATTATTTAAGTAATTTTTTTGAGTTACTTTTTACAAAAAATTTTAATAACTGTACTTTTTTATTGAATCAAGTAGAATACGTTTTGATATTAATCTTTTTTTTTTTTTTTTATTTGCCCTCACCAATTTTTAAAATGTTTCCTCGAAATCACTCTTAAATACTTTAAATACGTCTAACAGTTAATAAATATTTTTAAATCTATGGAATAATTTTAAAACCTATCAAACCCCTGTAAAATAATTATTTAAGTTTAAAATCTAAAACTAAAAGAAAGTATTTTTGTTCAATTTTATCGACAACGTTGCTATTGCTGAATAATTTTATTAAAATGTTAGCTTAAAAGATTTAAACTTTTTTTTGAATTTTTGAATTTTTTCTACTTCCAAATAATGAGCATATTTAATTTTTTTAAATTCAAACTTTTATTTCAACTGCGTGCGGTTTTTAAATGTTAAAATAATCGTAAATTACTTCATTAAAATTCCGCTCAAAAATATCTTTAAATATACTCAAACAAAAAATTTTTTGCTCGACGCAAATAGCCCTAGCTACACGCAAAATCGCCCTTGGACGACGTAAAATTCACATCGCCCGACGCTTTATCGCAAGGCCTGTATATATATATATATATTAGTAATAAAAGTAATTTTTCGGTAGACATTGCTCAATACAAAAGTAGAAAAAAATATATATTATATTAGAATAATAATTAAGTACAATTAAATTTGTAACATTACTTGGAGTTTCACCCTTTATGCAATCATCAGACGTTACAAACAACCAAAATAACAACAACAAGTTAAATACAAAAATTAACAAGTTAAATACAAAAATGCAATACAGTGTTTGCTTAGATAACGTTAAAGTTGCAGATAACAAATTTGTTTTTGTGGCGACATTTCGATATTATTTCATTTCGTTTATTAAATAGTTTCAAAGATATGGTATGATATGATATTTTTCTGTTAAACAAAGGTTACATGACTTTCTTCCAGGTTTAAAAGGTTCCGCTCTATCAATAATTTTCCACGTAAGGATAAGATTTGAAAATCTTTATTTTTCATTTCTCAGATTTATTTAGAAAGTTCTATGGCATTAGCCTTACTTTCGTATTGAAAGGAGTTTTTATGTTTATACCAGCGATCTTTAAAGATGTGCTCCATTAAACCAATATAATTTAAGCTACTATCCTGCGGTGATGTTTTTACATTGCAGACGTAAATTATATTTTTATTAAGACATACCTTGCAAAGGACATTGTGAAGGTTGCCGGCAATTACACATGGGAACTAATTTGAAATGCAAAAATATCTCATGGATCAAACACAGATTAATCAATTAGCAAACTTTCTATTCTAAGAACTCACCCCTATAACACTCTCAATAAATTTTGTAACAGTTTAATTATTGAGAGAGTTGTAGGGGTTAAATTATTAAATTATTCACAACTACCATTGGTCCTGATATTACGCTAACTTTAGATTTTTTTTTTAGTAAAAGTCTCTTACAAACAAAAATAAACAAAACATCTTAAAATGATATAAGTACAAAGCAGCAAAATACTGAAATCAACAATTGGGCCAAAAATAGATCAAAAATCAGGAAAAGGTCTGAAGTTTTATTGTTAAAATAATTGTTGTCAACTTACAGCCTTGGTTAATCTTATGAGTGACAAATGATGAAGGTTTTTAATACCAACAAGCAGTCTTTTTATTAAACTTCAACAATGAATATGAAACCACAGTATGCTCATTCAGTCTATAAAATAATTAAGCTTGCAATGAAAAATTTTCTAGTAAAAGAAAAAATACTAAAACAGCTTTATCAGGAAGGATCAAAAGGATGAAACATCAAAACAAGAAACAGCTTCCTTGGCTTGATGTTTGGTCACTGTTTTATTATGGGTACTTGGGAGTGAAGACACACTTCATTTTAGACAAATGAGAGCGAATCAAACTTTGCCTGGTATTTTTAAATGAGATGAAAGACATTATGCTTTGAATGTTTTTCAGAGACTTGGAAATTTTGCACAAAACAAATTAAGACTAAAAAAACACAGTTTAAGAGATAATAAAGTGCATAGAAAAAAAACTTTTTCACTTCAAATTGTAATTAAAACAGAACTTTTTTTACTCATACTTCTCATTTTAACTCAACAAACAAGAGATTTAAATAACAAATTTGAGAGGTTTGGGCTGAAAATTGATGTCCCAACATACTTGTTGACAACAATTTATTACATAAAAAATGTTTTGAAAAAGATATCTAGATAGCCCATCATTTTGATGCTGTTTAGAATTTTGGAAAGAATATGTAGGGAAAATAATATTTTAAAAAATCTTAGATTTATATATTACAAAAATAGCAGAGTTTTTTAACCATTAACTCTGGAAACATTTTTCAAATAAACTAACTTTTGCCAGAAAAAGTCCCTTTTGCGAAGAACATTTTTCAATTATTAACTTCAAATAATAAAATGTGTGCATAAGTCCTATTTTTTTGATTTTTGCTGTATAGTGATTTTATGAATATATCAAATTGTTTCATGTTTATGTTGACATTAATTTGGTGACAATTTAATTTTAGAAATTTTTAACACACTTTTGCATGTTTCCACCTGTTTCAGTTTTAGTTTAACCCAAATTTGGTTACCATTTTAGAAATATTTTTAATAAATCAAATTTTCACTTTGGTTACCATTTTGGAAAAATTTGGTTATCATTTTGGAGTTTAGTAAATCAAATTTTTGGTATTTTTGATTTCAACTAAAGTTTTGACTTCTGTCGATCACATATGATTAAACCTTATACTATTCCAGTGTTTGGAAGAAGGCGTTCCAAAAG